AGAGGTATAAAGGTTGTGGCACATCCTTGTCAGAACAAGCTTTTCCTTGGTGGACACTGTTTATTTTCTACAAACAATAAAGCCAAATTTCACTGGTTGGAGCATCAGAGATGCTCTTCTGATCTTAGAAGCTGGTTTGTCCAATTTCCTCTTGCAGCTCAGATTTCTCAGCCCTCAAGGACTCTCTGGGCAACCCTGACAGCTTTCCTGAAAAAGGCTAGAGAAGGAATGATGGATGGGGGTCAGAAGTATGCCTTTCTTATCTATCCATAGTCTTGGATACCATATAATAAAGAGGACAACACCAGTGAGGTGATGGCAGTCTTGCAAGGTTATCAGCACAGCAGGACTGAGGAATGTGAAAGCTTTCTCAAAGCCTACTGCCTATCAGATACCCAGGGAGATGATTTTAGGTGGGGCACAAACCACACAAAGGGCACAGTGCAGTGTTGCAGGCACCACAGCATCACAGACAGTACAAAATGGATCAGAAAGGGATTAGTTGTGGGTTAACACAAAGTCTAAGGAAAGCCCTTCTTGGTCACTGAAATGCTGAGGTATGAGGCTGTTTGGTGTCAGATTTTCTCCCATCTCTGTTGCTGGCTGGAATTGGGATCCTGACCTGGGCTCTCCCTACAGGTTCTCCATCGTCCTGCTCTGCGCTGGTAGCGCTGCTCATCCTGATGGTGATGGTGAGCGGGGTCCTGCTGTGGCTCTACCTGAAGAGCAGGTGCACTGGAACAGGCCAAGCTGCAGGTGGGTCCCCTCACCTTAGTTCAAGGCCACTATCCCTGTACATCAACCCGCTGATGCAGCACAGGCTAGGGGTTCAGGGGTTGCCAAACCAACAGCTGTATGTTCTTACCTTTATCTGCTCTGCAGCCCTTAAATGTCCCAGGGAGCGAGGTGCCTCTGCAATGCCCTTCCAGACTGCAGGAGCCATCTACCATCCAGCTGAAGGACAATTCCACAAGGATGCTGATACAGAGACAACTGAGCTCATCAGAGAAGATGCTCTCTTGTGATGCTGGTACAATCCCTTCTGCAGAAGCAGCACTATCAGCCCACATTGTGGGGTCATCAGCCAAGCTCATTCCTCTTTTCCTCCTGCATCTCATTTTTCAGAGCAAATGCTTTTTCCCTTAAGCTTCTGCAGAACTGCAGGAAGCCCTCACATGCTTTCGAGGAGACTGCAAAGCACAGCTTATGGGCTGGACATTTATAAAACAGTCTGTACCAATGACTTATACTCAGGAGCCCCAAAACAGCTATCCAAAGTCTTCTGAAGGTTGTTTGATCCAGGTCAATTTCAGAGGTTTTCCGATGGCATGTACCAGACAGTAGGACAGCCTGGTGGCCGTGCAGCCTGACATCAAGCTGAGCAGAGTAGCAGGGAATCTGAAACAGGACTAAAACTGCTACTGCTAACAAATTAAAGGAGAAGTGTGTCCCCAACCCTTCCAGCTGTGGTGAGCATTAATGCTGTGACATGTAACGCTCTGTGCTCCTCTGCAGGGGAGCCAGCCAGGGCTGCCTGGTGCCTCCTGCATTGGGTGGCTTCCCTCAACCTAGCAAACACAGGCAAGCCCCCATTTCTTGTCTATACCAGGCACAAGATTGTATTCTTGGCTGAGCTAACAGTGTTGCCAGCAGGTCAAGAAACAACTCCTCCCCTCTATTTAGCACTGGTGAGGGTGCAACTGTAATGCTGGATCCAGTTCTGAATCTGCCAATACAAGAAAGACATGGACACACCAGAAAGAGTCTAATGGCATTCAAAAGGAAGATGTATGAACACATCCAGGTGCGTATCCACAAAGGTGCTTTCACAGACACAGAGTGCCCAATGTGAAAAAAATTCAGCTCCAGAAGACATTTAGGAAGACCAAGGATAGCATCTCAAACACAACAGATAAGTGCTTCCAAGCAATGGTCTACCGAGTGTGAGTTGTTTAGAGCACTGTCTCAAGTGTTTCAGACAGACAGAACAAACACTCTGAACGATGGCAGACAGTGCTGTCTGTGAGATCCTCAGTGACTACTGTGCCTCGTGGAATGTTAAATGGTGTCACGTTACCAAGGGGGACTGGGTACAGAGAGGGAGACAGCATGGCAACATTCTGCCTCTTTCAGTCTTGCCAGCTCAAGGCAGTATGGGTAGGTTGTGCCTGAACATGTCCAGTCCTATCTCTAACTTTGGAGGGGCTGGTTTCTTTCCAATGCTCATCAGTGCTAATCTATGTATCAGCTATATTCATTATTTACAATAGATTACAAACCATATACAGCAAAATAAATTCCTCTTGCCTTACTGCCTTCATTACTTAGCCATGTGATAAAGATCTGGAGCAGAATGCAGACAGCAGCCAGCTACACAGACATGGTATGGGTGCTGCATCTGCAAATACAGTGACTCATTAAGGGACTGAGATACATTAATCAACTGCATCTAGAAGAGGATAGTTCATGGATAAACTGTCCTTCTTAAATCAAAGTCTTGACATTAGGAGCAATAATAAAAAAATAAACCCCATGCAAACCTTCTGACTCTGGCTTCTCACTCCAGGTAACCTGTCCTCGAGATCTCACATGAAAGCAAACATGAGGTCATCCCGGGTGTTCTGCAGGATATCCAGGTGGCAGAAAACCAGAAATAATTTCCTTCAGCAGTGAGGCAATTCATTTCCCTGCTAACTACTGAACTGTTAGTCATATTGTCATCACCAGGTGATACATGAATGCAGCATATGAGAAAAACTAGTTCAAAACAGGTGTCTGATAATAGCCATTCTGGAGATTAAATCACCAGAAAAAAAATATCTTTCTGAGTTCCCTTGAGAGCACAGAGCAGTGAGCACCAAATCAGTGACACCTGAGATGTTTTCATTGACCCCAGATACTGGCATTTGGGATAGTCTGTAAGAAAAAAAGGAGCTGGATACCCCAGCTCATCTTTAACGGCCTTAGCAGTTAATTCAACTTCAGGTCTCCACTGACTGCTAGTAAGGCTTGACGTGCTTGATTCAGCTCCACCTACCCAGGCAGCAAGTGGCAGTGGAGTTATTTTTAGGTATCTGACGCAGAAGGGATCTGGCATATAATGCAGTTACAGATGCAGAAACATTACAGGCAGCTCCACAGCATGTGCACTCTGATGCAGGTGCCACAAGAAGAGGCTGTAATGGGACATCTGGGCTGAATCCTGGGGAAACGTGGATACAGCATAAAGATATGGGGTCTGCACTGGCTCTTCATGAGCATCTATTCCTAGGAAGATGTGTCCCCACTTTAATGCAACAACTGGGTGCAGGTTGTTGGAGCAAGTCTCATCTTTGTCCTCCAATCTCCACCTCAGTACTTGGAAAATGCACAGGTGATCTGGGTTGTGAATGCTGATGTGTAAAGCACTGAGTATGTTGCACACAGGCTTAGTGTGCAACTGGTGAACTAGCCACCAGGATCACCTAAAAACCCCACAAGCAAGCAGGGATTTAAAAATGGCCTCAAACCAGCAATGATACAAGAGACAGCATTAAATAACCATCCTTTAATTAGTGTGCAGAGTGCTGAGGAGTGTACACCTGCTTTCAAACCGTACAAAATGGGGACAGGGTAGGACTGGGACCATGAGGAGTCTGAGGGTTGGCACCTCCAGTCCCACAGACCCAGTGTGCAAGAAGGTGACCGTGACACCAGGTCCCTCCAAAGCGGCTCAGATGTGAGGACGGGACTCTGATGGTGCCCCAGGGGACTTGGGTCTTGCTTTTACAAGAAAAGGTCTACATGCCACCCTCTGCCCAGCAGCAGCTATCAGTCAAAGAGAACAAATTCAGATTTCAGCAGCAGCTCAGGTGGCTCTAGATCTGGTGCTGCCACTAGGGATGCACTGTATGGAAACAAAGAGGACCCAAGGCTGGTTTTCTGCTCTCCGCTTCCTCATACAGATCCTGCAAACAATTTGTGTATCCCCCCTTTTCTGCTTTCTAACAGCCTCACAAGCACCATGGCACAGAAAAGAGGGTAAGTCTTTCCAACTTGAGATGCCAGGCTTTTTCCTCCAGAGTGGGAGAGGTGAGGTGGCTATTGTGTGGCTCAGCACCTCTCCCCCATCAACTCCATCAGCATTCCACCAGCGACATAATAGGGACCAGCACCCCCTCTTCCCTACTCTGGCTCCCCACGGTCACCCAAATCTTCCCTTGTGCCTCGAGGCCAAATCTTAAGAACACACAACTTGCAGCCAGTGGAATGCTGGAACACTGGAAGCAGCCTTCTGTACCAGCAAAATGCCAGCGTGGACCCTGCACAGCAGGGGAAAGGGCGTTATCATCATCAACCAGATCATCAGCAGCAGAGTGAAATATGGACGGGACATTTACGCTCTAAAAGAAATGTGAGGTGCTCAAGCATTGCTGTTCCCAATCATACTTTACACCAATGCACTTATTCTCCTCAAAAATTGACAGCTCTGTCTCCTTCTGCTGCAAGACTCAGTGTACCCCTACAATAAGGGGATATCCAGGAGCTCCCAGCCCATGTCTTGCACTCAAGGAGAACAGCAATGTAACTCCAAGCTTAATGCAGACATGCTGATGGGGCCTGTTGCAGGGCAAGGCTGAGTTATGGGAACTTACAGGGATGACTGGGCAGCTCTTCTTGAAACACTGAGGAGAAGAGAAGCATTCCTTAGTATCAGCTAAATACAGGACTTCCTACAGTGCTGTCAGAGCTCTGGATATCATCTCTCAGCTGCACTGCAGCCTTGGTCAAAGCAGCTTGCCTCTGCAAGCCACTATAGCACAAGACTCACAGTACCACAAGCTTCAGCTTGTACCAGCAAGTCTGCACCAGCAAGTCTGCAGCCAGCAGTGCTTGAGAACAGCACGTTACCTTCCTGCAGGTTGGGGGACAGGAGTCTGCAGCAGCCCCAGCCTGAGGGCTCAGCGACCATCCCTGTGAGATCACTTTGTTGGAAGCAGGAGAGAGCAACGTATGTCAGGGTTTGGCAGAGAGAAGCCATGCAGCAGAGGCCCCAGTGGGATGGGGGTCAGGAGAAGACCTGCAGCAGCACCCACATTTTGGCCTCCTCTCCAGGTCCCCTACACATGGCTTGCTTGTGTAAGTGGGCCAGCCTGGGGCTGCACGCATGCTTGTAGCATGCTCACTTCTTGCTTCAGGCTTCTTGGCCTCAAAACACTCATGCTGTGCACGCTGCTCTGGTTCAGCCATCACGGTGCACGCGCTGGTGCTGCAGCAGGTTGGAGGGGTGAGCAAAGCCCTTGTCGCAGACACTGCACTTGTAGGGGGTCTCGCCTGTGTGCACCTTCTCATGCACTGCCAGGTAGGCCAAGTCCTTGAAGAACTTGTGACAGAAGCTGCATTTGTAGGGCCGCTCCTGGCTGTGCACGCGGTGGTGCTGCAGCAGCAAGGAGGGGCGGGCAAAGGCTTTCCCACACGCTTCGCATTTGTAGGGTCGCTCCCCAGTGTGCGCCCGCTCATGGATCACGAGGTAGGATGACTGCTTGAAGGCCTTCCCGCAGGTTTTGCAGACAAAGGGCCGCTCACCTGTGTGCACACGTTCATGAGAGGAAAGCGCATTGGACTGCTTGAAACCTTTTCCACAGAGCGGGCAGACGAAGGGCCGGTCACCCGTGTGCACACGCTCATGAACCTTAAGGCTGTGGCCGTAGGTGAATTTCTTACCACAGACACCGCAGACGTGGGGCTTGTCGTCGCAGTGCTGCCTCTGGTGCAGGAGGAGGGCATTGGAAGTGGGGAAATCCTTCCCACAATCTGCGCACTTGAAGGGTTTCTCGGTGCAGTGGGTCAGGGTATGACGCTGCAGCTCATAGGGTGTCTTGAAGCTCTTGTCACAGCAGGCGCAGTGGAAGGGACGTTCACCCGTATGGATGCGCCGGTGCTCCTGGAGGTTAGAAGAACGTTTGAAACGCTTCCCACAGAGCTCGCATCGGAAGGGACGCTCCTCTGTGTGCACCAAGCGGTGGCTCTTGAAGTCCGAGTGTCGCTTGAAAGAAGCCTCGCAGAGATCGCAGCGGAAAGGCCGCTCCTCATTGTGCACAACCTCATGGCTGAAGAGCTCCCAAGCACGTTTGAAGGCTTTCTCACACACACCACACTGGAAGGGTTTCTCGTCCACAATCACCTCACGGATCTCAAACTCAGTGGCCCCGCTTGCTCCACGCTTCAGGTGTGGGGGCAGCACCACTGCTGCCTCCTCCAGCTCACCCGCCGCGCTGCCCAATACCAGCTTGGCTGTGGAGTAAATGCCGTGCTCATCAATCAGCTGCACAAAATCTGGCTTGGGACGAGCATCACCGTGAAGAGGTGGCTCAGGGGAGCAAGACCGAGAAGCTTTTCCCTCCTCTTCCTCCTCTTCGCTGCTCTGTGGCAGCATGGGAGCTTCCTCCAACCCATTCTCCCCAAGGTTCTTCTTCCGTCGGAAGTCACTGGACTGGCCCCAGATCAAGCGCAGCCTCTTTCCCCTTGAAGGCCCTGGCTCTTCAGCTCTTTCTCCCTCTCCTGGAGATGTTGGGACCAGGCTTGTTTTGGGCTTCAGGTTCAGCCGGTGCTTCCTGCATGGCTGCAGCTCCTCAGGTTCCTCTCCCACCCTTTGGCCTGGGCTTTCCATGCCCTGTGGGATAAGAGAACCTCGTCCTTGCCAGCACCGTGCTGAACATCGAGGAGAACCAATCCTGTCTTGCTTCAGGGAGTCTTTTTCCATCTGTACTTGGGTTGTATCCTCCTCCGGAGTTTCTTCCTGCTCTTCATCTTCAGGTTCATCTTCAGAAATGCAGACCCGCCGCAGAGAAAAGGGAGAATCAGAAGCAGGAGAAGCTGGCTGCTCCTCCATGGCTCCAGATGCTGGATGCCAACCCCGACAGGAATATCTGCAAAAATAAGGAAAGGATAAGATGAAAGCCATCGGGGAGCAGAACTACAAAACAAGGGCTATGAAGACAGTGTGGAGGAAGGCAGGTCAGAGATAAGCCCACATGTAAGGAATACAGAGAGTCTGCAAAATCTGTCAGCCATTTCAGGTTGGCAGGCAGGTGCTAGTGGTGAACCATCAAAAATACTTCTTGGAAACCTTATAACTCATTAACCTATTATTAGACACTGAATCAGTTCACCCACACAGACCACTTGCAAGGTTACCCGTGTCTAATTGGTTGGAGCAGTGGTTGAAAGCCTCACTACTATACCTACAAGCTGGGAGTTGTACCAGCTTACCAGCAGCTGCCAGGCAGGGTATGCAAAGCTCTTCAGTCTGTGCTTGGTCTCACTGGGTGTCTGCACAACCCTGCACAGTCTGCCACGAGAAGCCACTGTTCTGGATGCATTCAGAGGATACCAACATGTGCTGGTGCCCTTAGACAAAGTCAACCATGAGTTTATCAGCTCCTGTGGATTCAACAACAACAGCTTGTCTACTTCCACAAGTTCGTCAGCCAGTTTTCAGACTTTATCTTTCTTTGTACATCTCTTTCTGGTCCTTGCTTCTCTGGGCTCCATCCAAACCCTCC